TATCGTAATATATAAAGCAATTTCCTTAACATGGCGATAAAGAAATTGCAAAAGAAGCTTCCAGAAAACAAACTAAAAAACAAAAATAAGCAAAAAACAAATTCAGTGATAACTTCAATATTGACGTGAGAAAAGACTCACTTTCGTAATAATAGTGAGCTATCGTTTTTAGCAGTTTTAATGAAATTTATTAAAGTTATATTGGATTTTTCCCCATGAAGCTGAAAGAGAAAATGACATTATCAAGATGCTGAATTTCCACACTACTTCGGATAAAATGTTAGGAAGGAAACCTCCATCAATACTGTAAAGAGCGATTATAGCCACTGTATTTGAGAAGCCTATTTTCCTGATAATTTTTTTTAAGAGAAAGATTTTAGCGATTTCAATCAACAATGGAAACTGGCTTCTCGGTCAATGAATGCCGAATGTTTTCTTATTAGGAAACGGCTGATATTACAATTACTATAACAAAAGCATTATATATATATTCTGTTACGCCCGGGGTTTCGTTGGGACTACGATAGCCGGGACGCAACGAAAAATAAAAAAAATAAGTAATAGATCCCAAGGTTCGATATAAAATAAAGAAAAAGAACGTTGGGAGGGGAATTCTCAATTCCGGACGTCGGTAAACGCAGAGAGAAAATGAACAATTCGCAGACACAGAACAACAGAAGACAACACGAGAATAATACAAAGTTTTTATTTCTAGAATACACGGTGTAAGAAAAAGAAAAAAAAAAACTAAATAATACAAGAGATGGGGAGATAAATTACCAATTATTAAACAGATACTAATGCGGCGAAATTCATATGAATATAGAAATAGCAGATTTTAAGATAGGGAAAAACATGCAGAAACTTACATAAGTTTGGAATCGACGTCGATTGACAATTATCGGGGTACAATTTGTTCAAAGAATATTTGTACACTTCTTTGATGGGATTGACAATGTTGATCTACAATCTCGCGTCGGTCCTTTGGTTTTTGGTGGCATCTAATTCTTCTAATGGCGAATAGCTAAGACAGGTTTTTGGTGACGTCCGACTCCTCTGATAGCCAGCAACTGTGTGTGTTTGTTGTTACCTTAACACGTCCGAAACGAAAACTGCTATATTTTGAGTCACGTGTTGACCCCCAAAAAAAGGTATGCCTCATTCACGGACCCTGTTAATATCATCCACTGTTATCTTGGCCAGCGACTATGGAACTGGTTAACATCATTCACACCTGTCAAACAGCGTTTGTTTGGCCTACGCGTCAGGGACCAGGTAGGAAATGGGGGGTAGAAGGGAAGGTTCTCTTCCGAGAACTGGCCCTGACTCATCTGGTTATAAAACAATATGTATCTCACAATCTGCATATTTAAGAAATAAAAAGTTAAGATTCATATGTTTCGTCGCAAATACAAAAGGTACTTATAAAATCTGAGGTGAGGGTACAAATATGGGGTTAACGTAACAATATATATATATATATATATATATATATATATATATATATAATATGATATAACGATATATGATTTTGTTAGGTTTCATCGGACTGGACTTTGTTGATGTTGTCGCGTCTACACTTGCGCATATGCGCACGAAACTAGAGACGTTTGAAACTAACAACGTCTGTCGTTTCGTGCGCCTGTGTAGACTTGGTAACATGAACAAAGTCCAGTCCGATGAAATCCTAACGAATGAAACGCTCCACAAAAACTTTTTCCTAATTTGTCATATTATATATATATATATATATTTGTTTGTGTGTGTGTATTTAGGCAGCATTTTTTCATTGATGCATATTTCATTAAATAATATAGACAAGTTTTGTCTATTTATTTTATGTAAATTCTTTTCATATTGTCTGATAAGCTTAATAACATTACCATTAAAAGATGAAAGAAAAACATCATATTGATACATGTTTTTTGACTCTATCTAAGCTTTCGGCTTACATAAGCCATTATCAAAGATGACAATTACATTTCAATATATTAAGCAATACACGGACAAAACAATAATGATAGTTTGTTTTTGTTGCATGAAAGATTTCCAAGCAACGAAAAGCTCGTGTATGCGAGACGCAGAAGCGAAAATCGTGACGTCACACATGACCACGCGTGAGTGAAAACGAGTAGTGTTAAGTATGGGAAGCCGTTGATATAAACCAATGGCTTCTGGTATCAATTATAGGCATTTATAGGCATTTATATAATATATATATATATATATATATATATATATATATTTGGGATGAGGGAATGTGATAAGATATACTAAAAAAAAAGAAAACGTGACAAAATCTGTTTATTATAGAATGTCCTCTATAAAAGCTTCTACGAAAGCCTCTATGAAAATCTCTATAACAATTTCTACGAAAAGCCTCTATAAAAGCTTCTATAAAAGCTTCTATAAAAGATTCTATAAAAGTTTCTATAAAAGCTTCTATGAAAGACTCAATGAAAACTTCTATGAAAGCCACTATGAAAGCTTATATGAAATCCTCTATAGAAACTTCTATTTAATCTGTTAGGAAAACTTCCATAAAAGATTCTACGAAAGTCTCTATGAAAGATTCTACGAAAGTTTCCATAGAAACCTCTTTGAATTCTTCTATCAAAGCTTTTACGAAAGCTTCTATGACAGTCTTTATGAAAAGTTCTTTAAAAACTTATATGAAAGCTTTATTGTGGAAACAAAAAATGGTTAACCAGGAAGGCAGAACTTTTCGCTGTTGTTGTTACTGAGAAGAAGAGATTAACTTCTTCGCCTCGGCAAACGTAAGTTCAAGGAAAAGCAATACATCGTGTTTTGGGTAAATAAATGTATAATATATTAACACATATACAAAGCCAGCATACTGATGGGGACGTGCAGGATTGTTAATTATTTAAGAAAGAATCAGAAGGAAATTTTAGTGGGTGCGTGTCTCACTGCATCCCCAAACATATAAATAAACGAACTTTCAAATGCAATTAAAAACGAGACATAAGCAATTTAGAAAACAATGCAACATTTATACAATTTATCAATATACAGATTGGGTAATCAGTGTGTGTCGTGTGGACAAAATTGTGTGTGTAATTGTTTGATTCGTGAATGTCTCTTTGTTGATATTGTTCGTTAGTTCGCTGTCTTTTGTTTGTGTCAAATATCGTAATTATGAATAATAAGAGTTTTTGGAAAGAGTTTTTTTAGAGTGGTCTACCCTGAAACGTATTTGGTGTTTACTTATCTTTTAGTAGTGAATTTAATTCACTGTACATAAGCAAAGTTGAGAAAAGTGTTCACAGAGTTGATTGATGAATGTTCGAATGTGAGACAGTTAAATGTTTTCGTGCGCGGCAAAATTGTGGTTTGCAGTGGCGTGGAGTATATTGGAAGTTACTCTGCGAATTCGTGAGACTAACTGGCGTGGAGTTGGTAATTGTCTTTAACGTCTGGTCAGCAATGACTAAGACGGGAGTCGGTGAAATGTTACATCTTGAAACTTGGTAATTACTGCTGCTATTCTCTCCGAAGGTTCAAACGTTCTCTGTTTATATATCCACCGGGTTTCGAAAAGTGGCTCACTTGGTTTTGGCACAATTTCTGTTTTGCACGTGAACTTCAAGTGATTGACCAATGGGGTTGTTTGCTTCTTTTCTTGCCGTTTCTATTGGTTGAAGTTTTCTAGGTACGTAGGCATACGATGTGGACTCTGCTTTTGTTAGGGTTGGAAAGGTAAGGATGATTGGACGAGTCCACAATACTACTCGTTGCTGTTGTAAAAGGTGACAGAGTGGGACAGGAAGAAAGAAAGAGAAAGAAATTTAGTCATGGCTGTCGGCTGATGTTTTGCTAAGACGGCAGCGGCGAAGGGTGAAAATTGAAAAGTACTGCGTTCAGTTTGCCTGCGGCGTTCTAGACTAACCTCTGCGTGTGGATATCTCAGCCTGATCTCTCTCTCTCTCTCTCTGTCTGCCCTTTGCGGCGTTGAATCAAGGAATTTATATCCGTCGTATAGGCTCCAAATCACAGTCTGGGTCTTTTAGCAGAAGTTATTTCTTCTGGCCAATATATAAAGTTCATTTTTTCATTTATTACCGAAAACATGCATCGAGCCATGATGTGCAGAGACGTGTTTTCGCATTTTGTCTTGGGTCGCTGAGTAGAGACACAACAGCTTCCATGAAATCTAATAAAGTTTTTAAGAAAACTTCTATGAAAGCTTCTACGAAAGTTCCTATGAGAGCTTTTATAAAAGCTTCTATGAAAGCATCTACGAAAATTTCTAATAAAGCTTGCGTGAAAGCCTCTACGAAAGCTTTAATGAGACTTCTATGAAAGCTTCTATTAAAGTCTCTACGAAAGCTTTTATAAAAGCTTTGATTACAGTATAGTTCTGAGTTGCCACCTTCAGAGTAGCATCTGTCTTCGCATACTCGCGATTTGTCAGCTTAATAGTATCATATCTTTAGTCACCGCATAGTCTAGACATGACACTTTCTTCATATTATTTGCTTAGTCAGCTTATAGCCCATACTTGGTATATTCGTCGTTTCATCTGATTGGTCATCGCATAGTCCAGACTTGACAGCTTTTTTTAGGATTATCCGTTTGGTTAGCGTATAGTTCTAACTTGGCCCCTTCAGGGGATCATCGGTTTGCTCATCCTATAAGTCTTGACTCCTTCACATTATCAGCTGGAATGATATTCGCCCGAAAGGCGGACGCTGTTGCTGCAGAAATTCAAGGATGGCTCGAACCGCTTGACGCCACGATCTTCGAAGGATGCTATTTATGCGCTTTGGGACAAATGTCTCAATCCCGACGGTGACTGCATCAATCCCGATGGTGACTGCATAAATACTGCAGGTAGTATATGCACTAAGTTTTTTTTATTTATCTTTATTGTAATATGTTGGATTAGTAAATATTTACAACGTTTTTTTCGGATATCCCTCGTATATATAATTATCAAATTATGTAAGTATTATATCATTATCTCACGAAAATGTGCATTCGGCCACATCACGTAGAAACACCAGCTCGCGTATGACCACCTAAGTTAAGCAACGTCGAGGCGGGTCAGTAACTTGATGGGTGACCGCATGGGAATACCAGGTAAGCTTGGGTTTGCGGTTGGTGTAGTAGATATCGGCTCGGAATTCTTAATCGTAGAGCCGCGTTGCAATTCCAGTTCGGTTCGTTTTATTCTCTTACGCTCAAATATCCTTGAAAAAGGTATGACTTGGCACTTTTAGATTATCATCTTTGGTCACTGTATACTCCATATTTGTTAGCTTCTTCGTATTATCTATTCGGACATCGTATAGTCGTGACTTGGCTCTTTAGATCATCATCTACCTGGGCGCCTCAAACGACATCTATTCGGGATGAGGATCCATACAGATGACGCTCTTGTTGCAAAAGTGTAAGATTAGCTCCAACCGCTTGACGCCACGTTCTTCGAAGAATGTAATTTATGTGCTTTTAGGAAAACTGCATCAGTCCCTATTTTTTTAACGTATTTTTCGGACATCCCACGTATATATAATTATTAAATTATGTTAGTATTATATCATTATCTCACGAAAATTTAAACCCTTGTTATGGCTTTCAGTCCACATTTCAGCTTCTTTTTTATTAAACTTCGGACGGGTGCACACAGCTTAATGATTAGACACTTCATCGAAGGATGCAAGTGTACTGACGGACTGACAAGAAAGGTTAACACACGCATTTTAATAGATTACCTTGTAACTATATTGAAATTATAATCTTTTAAAGAGAACGCTAATGGTAAATGTTGTTGAATAATAGCTACGTTATAACACGGCCGGCCCGGGTCGATCCACGCTCTTTCCCACGCTGGTCAGTACTGGCGCCGATCAACAGATGGTTCTTTATTGACCGCTTCGTTCCTTCATCTGCTCAGCCCACGTTGTGTTCTGTGATCACAGTGCAGTGAAGATCGAATTTCAAACTGCACTTAAGCGCTGGATCGAGCTGGCGGAACCGTGCTATGAAAAAAAGGACAAGAATGCTTCCGCCAGTGAAAACACAGACATCATAACAAATACGAAGGCCGCCAATTGGTCTATATAATTGTTGATACAACAAAATTAATCCTTCCCTTTCGCCTCTCTATCGTGACACTGTATCTGTTGATTCTAAAACTTGGAGCGGTTTAAAGTCACATGAGATGTTAGGTCGGCGGTCACGTGAATTCAACAGCTTCTTTGCTGCTTCTGATTCGTCTCAGCCTTCTCCAACGGTGGCTCCTACTACCGGCTTCAACCGATTGTTCGGTTTAGATGCATCTCGTCTAACTCTTACTACCCCTCCAAACACATTACGTATTCACCAATTAACTATTTTCTCCAACCCTGGAGTCATGACATAGACTCTAAATCAAAGCGGATGGTATCTCAAAACAATAAACTTTGTTTTTACATTCCTATTACCCCACAATTATTGTTTACGTTAATAAATTTTTGTGTTTAAACATTTATTTCGCATCGACAAACAATTCTCTCTGTTTTAAAAAATTCCTTTCTTTTCCCAACAATAATTTTTTTCGTCAACAAATTTTTATTTCAAACCACAACCTTTTCTTGATGTACCAAATCTTGATCTCAAACAATTCTTTTGTCAATTTTCAAAACACACACCAAATTATTTACATTTCTTCAAACCATATTCTGGACTCGACATTCCATTCGGCAATCTCTTTTGATTACATTTTGTTGCTTTACCAACATTCGCTTCCCGGCTTTGAACGACATTCAATTAACAAGATAGTCACCTGCAAGAATTTTTCTTTGTTTACATTTCCAATACGACCTAAATATTGTTTGCGACAATGGACCGTTTTTTTTTTCAAAACAAAATTATTTCAAATCGGCAAAAGAATTCCAGCTTTCGTATTCATAACATAACTGACTCGCCGATTAGTTTATCAGGAAAATATTTTTCTTTTTTTTCTTCGTTTCATATTTCAATTGCTGTTTCTTATTTTAAAGTTTTATTGTTTAACGTTTTCTTCAACCCGTCCAATGCTCCAATTCTATACGGGGTTTTCGCATGAACCCTTTTAATCCTAATTTCACACCACCAGTGACACGATGGTAACACTTTCCTTTCAACCATTACCAGTGACTCTTTATAGTGTCACAATATGGCAATGCTATTGTCATTATTTGTGTTACAGTGTTCTTTAGATAATGTTACTTATACATTAATCAGCAAAGTTTAATTCAAAGAATCATCTAGTAAAATCCATGGCTCCATCTAAACATATTTAGAACATCCATATTAGATACTTATTAAGTGACATGCTACCTCGGCTTCAATCACATTCCCATCGTCTTATCGTAGCTTCCCGTGACTTTTCTACTTATACTTTCGTGGCAATTGTTCCGATGAGCTTCTCTCTTTGGTACCTAGATTTTAATCAATTTAAGTGTAGTACTAGATTGGCATTTCGGTCTCATCGTTTTATTGTTGAAATCGCTCGATGTAACCGTAAGTTCTATGCTAACAGTTTCTTCTCTTACACTTCTCACTTGTGAAACTCACTTCGAGTTTATTGCTTTCCTGTCAAATACGATCTTCAAACATTTAAATGCAGCGTCAATCGTCATCTGTCTTTTTAAAATCCCTTTCTTTCTCCTCAGTAATGTTTTCTCAGGTTCTTTCATTCTCAGTGACCTGACTTAGGGTGAAATTAAAGAAAAAAATAATAGTGTACTGTTAGTAACTAACAGCTGATAAAAATACGACATTGAATTAAATTAAATTTTCCTTATCTAAAAAATAGTTTGTTCATTTCTAGACTCCGTTAAATTAACGTCGGTTTTTCGTCAAACGTTCGATTTTCTTGCGACGATTGTGAGGGATTCACCTACCATTGCGGGTCGGGCGTTTATATCACTTCCTGTTACCTACTTGTCTTGTGTGTGTGTGTGTGTGTGTGTATTCTAAATTTATCGCATATACTCGAGTATAGTTCGAGTTTTTACGATCTGTTTTGTACGCAAAAAAAATGTAGGAGGTCGCGCTACATAGAGGTTATATTTTTTGAAGAGTTTAAAAATCATCCATTTTCATTGATCGATTGAATTATACACAGATATATTGTTTTGGAGAGGTTAAAATTCACGCATATTTGGGTAATCGTAACCTCCCTGGTAAGCTTACATTATCACGGTACCTTTGGCTAACAATAATGGTATAATGAATTTCCAAGCGTAGCTTTGATGTGGCACAAGGCCGAAAGAAGGGGGCACCTAGTGAGGATCGCATTCACTACTCCGTTGTAAATGTTCTAGTGAGACAAGCTTGCTAACCATTACACAGTCTCGAGATACCCAATGGTTTTCTAAGCGTGGCTCAGATATGGCACAAGGCCGAAATTAGGGGGCATCTATTGAGTATCGTACTCACTACTCAGTTGTAATTCTTCTAGCGAGGCAAGCTTGCTAACCATTACACAGCTTCGAGATGCCCAAAATGAATATAGTTATTTTCCAAGCGTATCTTAGATGTGGCTCAAGGTTGAAAGTAAGGGGCACCCAGTGAGGATCGCACTCACTACTCGGCCGTAATTATTCTAGCGAGACAAGCTTGCTAACCGTTACACCGCCTCGAGATGCCCAAAATGAATATAGTAATTTTCCAAGCGTATCTTAGATGTGGCTCAAGGTCGAAAGTAGGGGGTACCCAGTGAGGATCGAACTCACTACTCAGTCGTAATTGTTCTAGCGAGACAAGCTTGCTAACCACTACACCGCCTCAAGGTGCCCAAACAATAATGGTATATGTAAGTACCTTTACTCTGTCTCCCATAGCTTAGTCCATTTATTTACTGTAGAATATATTCAGGATGATGCAGTATTTGAAAAAAAAGCTTGTTTCGCATTAGCTACGAGATATATGAAAAACTCAGGTTTTTCACACACAAAAAATTAGGGGTCATTCTATACACGAATATATACGGCAGTTTAATTTCCGTGATTTACTTCTCCGTTCACAGTTCCAATATTCATGTCTTTGGTGGCTGACAAGAGCGATCCTTGCATGGAAGTTTCGTCGTGCGGATCGTTTTAGTGGATTCTAACTGGATTTGTCGAATCTTTCGTCCTTCATCTGTTTCTTCTTTACATTTCTCCATTCGTTTTTGTTCAAAAAGGTTTCGAACAGTCAAATTGTTTGACGCCATACGAGGATGATTTGTTGTAAGTTTTTCAGGGTGATATCGCCACCTTTCTCATAGTTTGTTTTAGTTGACCTTATAGCAATGCCAAGGGCAGCCGCAGGGTCTTTGTGCTGCGTTAACTCTAAAGGATTTGGCGCGGATTTCCGTCGCTGCTGATGCGGAATACATGTCCTGTCCATCGAAAGCGGTTTTTACTGATGATGGCTTCGAAGCTTGTTGGATTGAGATTTCTCAAGGGTTGCGAAATTATAGATACGATCCTTCAAATTAATGTTCAGAATTGAGCTTTTGCTGACGGAATCGCTCTACTTTCTTAATGGTCTTCTGTCAACACAAGTTACGGTTAATCGTTAGAGCGGATCCGATTCGAACCGATCCAAGCCCAGCCGATCTGATCCGATCCTTTCCGATCCTATCCGATCCGGATTTGATAAGCCTTCTTTCTTTGCCGATTCTTTAAGAAGTCAAAAGTAATCTGACGTCAGAGTGAACAACAATTTGTTGTGAGTTCATATCTTACGGAAGTCTGTCACGGTTGATGCAGAATAAATTACCTGTCCATCGAAGGCGATGTTTATTGATAGTAGCTTTCATGATGTTGGTTTGACCTTTCTCAAGACGTCAAAGTTAGAGACATCAAGTTATCTGTAGATATGAATCAAAACATATTTATATATATTGAATATAAACAAGTTTTTAGAAAACGTAGTTCAATTAATTCGGGGGAAAGGGACTTCTGAAAATGCACTTTTCAACAACGCAGATAAAGTTATTTAAAATGTATGTGCCGAATTTAAGAAAGTGTTGATTGATTCATTTTCTATGGATCATCAACTCTTTGTAGGTTATTTAAAGCCAGGAGATATTTTTAGATTGTAAGAATTGGGGGCGGAGTGAAATAATAAT